CGCACGCAAGCCCGCACGCACGCACGCTCGCACGCACGCACGCAAGCACGCACGCACGCAAACACGCACGCACACAGACACAATTTCACACTCACCCACCCACCCAACCACCCACACACAGACACACACACACACACACACGAAACCGACAAATGCACCGGGAATTGACGCCCGAGCGATGGCAAGCTTGCGCCAGATTCCGGTTCATTACTGTGCGTCTTCCAACCCGAGCGTGATGGGGGGGTGGCCCGAGCGGAGCTGCTCGCTGATTCGGCCAACCACCCTTGCCGCCAGGAGCGCTCCCGGTGCCAGGAGTACCTGCGCTGGACACTGCAGACCCTGGAGGGCCCCCTCGCCATGCCGAACATCCAGAGGAGGACGGACGCCACCCTGGTGGCCTGCGGAGAACAAGCGCCGATGAGGAGGAGGAGGCGGAGGAGGATCACAGGTGCAGTGGACTCATGCGGTATGACATTTCGCCATGATGAGTCTTGGGGCGCATTCTTCCTCGATCTTTGAGGTTCCTGCGGAGCCCCAGAGCTTCTGTGGGTCCCTGGGGCCTCCAGGGGAGAAGAATTATCCGCGGCGCAACTGATGGCAGGTCGATTTCTTACTCGATGTGCCCACTATGTCCTTGACTAGGGGTCGCTTGGGCTCGACGACAAATCCAGAGCGGCACGCGCTTCGTCTAGTTCCCCTCGGGCCGAGCTAATAAGGGTCAGGACTTGAAGCCAGAGTACACAAATCGGCCAGAGGTCCGTTCCACCACGAACCTTCGCAACGTACATCTCTCCTCCTCCTTCTCCTCCTCATCCTCCTCTTCCTGACGCTCTAGCTGCCGATTCTTATCGGGTTCGGTTCACGCCCATCAGGCCAGGACCTGGTTGTGGATCGCACCGGCGTTCGGCCTGTGGCTTTCCGATCTGTGGGGGCACGTCCTGCGCTTTGAGCGTCCGCGGCTGCAGCCTGTGACGGGGGAACGGCTGTGCACGGCGGCCGCTGTGGCGGCATGCGGAGCGGCAATGGCGCGGCTGGGCAGCGGGGCCGAGGGGCGCGGGCATCGGTCGGCGGTGGAGCGCACCGCTCGCCGTCCTCGCAGACTGTCACCTGCAGCGGCTGTCCGGCGCGCCCCGAGGAGGAGGAGGAGGAGGAGGAGGAGGAGGAGGAGGAGGAGGAGGAGGGGGAGGAGGAGAAAGAGGAGGAGGAGGAGGAGGAGGAGGAGGAGGAGGAGGAGGAGGAGGAGGAGGAGGAGGAGGAGGGGGAGGGGGGAGGAGGAGGAGGAGCAGGAGGAGGAGGAGGGCAGGCGGAGGAGGAGGAGGGGAGGGGGGGAGGAGGAGGAGCAGGGGGAGGAGGAGGAGAAGGAGGAGGGGGAGGGGGACCAGGAGGGCGTTCGGCCAGCGGCCCCCACGCTCACCCCCGGCGCGGCAGCCGAGCGCTGGTGGGGCGCAGGAGGCCGGGGGTCGGCTGCCAGGCTCGGCCGGCCCCCCGGGAGCTGCGCAGCTGTCCCTCCGCGCACGCATCGTCGCGTCCTGCTGCGCACGAGCGTTGGAGGAGAGGCAGAGAGAAGGACTGCGCGGCGACGGGCGCAACGCGGACGACGGGACAGGTGGGCTTCTTCATGTCCGGTCTTTTGCCGATCGGCGCGGGCCCTCGCCCCCCCCCGACCCTCCCCCTCTACTCCTCCGTGGAGGAGAGCCCCGGGGCAGAGCTCAGAGATGAAGATTGCGCGGCGACGGAAGGGACACGGGCGACGGGACAAACGACGGTCGACGACGACAGGCGTTGGACGACGGACGGACGGCCACGCACATCGACACCCGCTCGATTGGATGGTGCCCAGGGTCAGCCATACGCAGAGGGGGGCCAGGGGGATGGGGGAAGTGAAGGGTTCTTAGAGAAGCCCCCCTGCTTCTCAGAAGGCGCGGGCCTTATCTGTAGGGGCAGGGCTGGCGCCTTCTGAGAAGCAGCCTGCTTCTAAGAAGCCTTCCCCCCTACCCCTAATTACCCCCCTGTGCGCGTCGCCGGCAGGGGAACCGTCGAGGCCACGGCAGCGGCAGCCCCCCCTCAATCGAGCAGGGCAACCCCCGAGCTGCAGCCAGCTTCCGGGCTCGGCCGGCCCAAGAGCTTCGCAACACTCAGGAGGGAAAACAGCACACAGACACAAAGAATTGCCGGTTCCCAGGGGAGCATGGAAGATATGAAGATGGAGGGGAAGACGAGCATCCAGAAAGAATTGAAAATATTGGGGATATTGGGATTTGTGTTTATTTATGTGTGTATCTCTGGGCCACTTCAGCATGCACGCCCGCTCGACGGGAGGCGGCCGGCGGCATCGTTGGGACCCGCGGCGACGTCAGCCTCCGTTTGCGTGATTTGTTCACAGCGTGGGCCCCGGACGCTCGTTACCCCTTCTCGGCCACTCGCAGAAGAGGGTCGGAGGAGGGGGGAGGGCTCCGTAGAAGGAGGCTGCTTCTTAGAAGAGGCGCGGGCCTCATCGATGTAGGGCCGGCGCCTTCTGAGAAGCGGCCTCCTTCTAAGAAGCTTTCCCCCCCTCTCCCTGCTCCCTTGTGCGCACCGCCAACCTTCCCCAGGTCCAGACGATCATCCTGAGCAGTTTTTTGCACGCTCCCAGGATTTGGTGAGGGCGTCAGGAGGTCAAGAATTGCCCAAGCAGCGTTCCGTCGTGCTATCTTCACGACGAGGCGAGGTGGGGGGCATGCCCCTTCTTGGCTAATGGGCCCGTGCGTACCACTTTCCCCACGGCCTCGGTCCCTGGCGTCCAGTGGCGAATCCCTCGTGCACCGCGCGCTGGCGTGCTGCGAGGTCCCGTCACCATGGATGGAGGGAGGGAGGGAGAGGGATGTCCGGTAGCAAAGCATGGGAGCCTCGTACGTCCCCGTATTGAGGAGTCCTTACGGCCGGTGCCGCCGACCCTGGCTGGGGGCCGACGGCGACGACTGCGGCGGCGGCCAGTAGCAAATCATGGTAGCCTTGTGTATGTCTTCGCATGTCAGCCTCAAGGGTGCATTAGCGTGCGCTGGCGTCTTGTCATCGATGAGTCATCGCCGATTTAGCGTCGACTAGCGTTTGTGTAGCTTCGATCGGCGTCGATGTCGCCTCGAACAGCGCCGATTCGCAAGAGCCAGCAATATGACATGAGAGGCTCCCATGAGTTACCACCGAAGGGGTGGCGCAGGATGGAGCAAGAAGTGAGGAGGGAGACCGGATTGGGCACAGGAAACGCATTGATAACCATGAAAAGGGGGGACAACCACGAAGCTTTTTGTAGCAGAAGCCTTGTGGTGCTGCCTGTCCAGCTTCAGCTGCCCTGGTGTTTGTCGCCTAGCCTCCGCCTGTCCTGTACCCAAGTCAACAGTTGCTCCGTGCGAGCTCGTAGGTACGGTATCATCGTTGTCGCTGTCTTGACGGACTTGCCCATTAGGAGCTCTTGCTCACTCTGTCTCGTCTTCTGTGGCGTCTACGCAGTTTACCAGTCTGACCAAGCTTAGGATGGAGGAGGGTGAGTGCTTGTGCTTTTGCGGTCAGGCGCCTGTTTTCAGTCATCAGGCAGTCGCGGGCTCGGCGCATAGCAGCTGTCACGGTCTCCAAGATTTCAGTGGTGGATGCCATTATTATTTTGAGGCGCCGAGCGCGCACGAATACCCGATGTGCAATGCTATCGGCCTGTGTCCGTGCGCATTCGGGCACGACCTTCTGTTCCGTCTTATCTCCCACGTGTAGAGAGGGACGAGGAGGGATCTGCGGAGGATGAGAAGGGGGTAAAGGAATCGTAGGAGGAGGAGGAGGAGGAGGAGGAGGAGGAGGAGGAGGAGGAGGAGGAGGAGGGAGGAGGAGGAAAGGGAGGAAGTGGAGGAGAGGAGAGGAGGAGGAAGGAGGAAGCAGAGGTGGGAGAGGAAGAGCAGGAATGAGGAATAGGAAGAGGGAGAGACGTGGAAGAGGGGAAGGAGGAGGAGGAGGAAGAGGAGGAGGAGGAGGAGGGACGACGAAGGGCAGGAGGAGGAGGAGGAGGAGGAGAAGGAGCAGGAGGAGGAGGAGGAAGAGGAGGAAGAGGAGGAGGAGGAGGAGGAGGAGGAGGGACGATGAAGGGCAGGAGGAGGAGGAGGAGAAGGAGGAGGAGGAGGAGGAGGAGGAATAGAGGATGGTGGTAGAGGTGGAGGAGGGGGAGGACTGGAGTGAGTAGCGAGGTGCCTCCATCCTCCTGGCTCTCCCCTTTCCCGTCTCCCCCCTCCGTCCTCCACCCCCCTCTCGCCCAAACTTCTTCTCTCGCCTTCTCTTCTCCAGTGTTCTTCTTCGTCCTTCCCTTCTATGCTCTCTCCACCTCTCTCTCTTTGTTTATGTATTGTTTCATCTCTTTATGTTTGTTGGTTCTCTCTCTCTCTCTCCATGTCCATCTCTCGCCGTGTCTCTCCCTCTCTCTCTCTCTCCCCTCCCTGATTATCATCATCATCATCATCATCATCATCATCATCATCATCATCATCATCATCATCATCATCATCATCATCATCATCATCATCATCATCATCATCCCTTTCCCCTCTCTTCTCCTTTCTCCTCTTCCCTCCTCGTTCCCCCTCTCTGCTCTTCTCCTCCTCCCCCCCTTGTCCTTCTTTTATATCTTCAGACCTCTCCCCGTTGTCAACCTGGTCATCTTTAGACACTCTCCTCCTCCTCCTCCTTCTCCTTCTCCTTCTCCTCCTCCTTGTCCTCCTTCTCCTTCTCCTTCTCCTGGTCGACGTCATCCCCCTGCTCCCTCCTACTGTGCATCCTGATCCCCCCCTCGCCCCTGCTGGTGGAGGTGGCGTGGCGGAGGATCAGAGCCGCCGTCGTTTCCTCCTCCTCCCCCTCCCTCTCCAACCTCTCTTCCCTTTCTCCTCCAACTGCCCCGCAGCCCAGGGCCGTCTGAGGCTCCCGCACGCTCCTCAACGAAGCGACCCCCCCCCCCTCCCGGCTGCCGCCGCTGTAGAAAGATCCGGTCCATGGCGCCGCTGTGCTACAGGCAGGCGCTGCCGCCGCCGCCGTCAGACCAACTGCCGTCAGTGGAGAGGGGGGGGGGCCAGCACCATGTACTCCCAGGTCTCCGACGCAGTGAATTTTTCCTTCCGGGCGGTTGTCCTCGAGCTCGGCCTCCGGGTGCCTCCCTCGGGCCCAAGGGTTCAGGGCAGAACTTGGCTATGGGGAGTCGGTCGGTGTCTCTGGGGCCGCGGATCGAAACAACAACAATCAGGACGGGAAAAAACACACAGACACAACTAATCGTCGACTCCCAAGAAAATATGGAAAACTATGGGAAGTGGGGGGGGGGAGACGAAAACCAAGAAAATATACGAAAATATGGGGCATCCTGCTATTTGTGTCTATTTATCTGTGTGTCCCAGGGCCCCTTCAAACAACAGCAGGTCGGCGGATGTCGGGGCTCGGCCGTGCAGAGGTGGGGCCCCGAGGGCTGCCGTCCCGAGGGCGGGCCACGGTCTGCGGCCTCCCGCCGTACGCCCCCCCCTCCGAGGACGCCCCCGAGAAAGCGACCGAGGCAGGACCGCCAGTTGGATTACAACATCGCATCGCTGGTGATCGTTCTTTGTTCGCTGTCTTGCCGATCGGCGCGGGCCCTCGCACCTCCCCCCCGTCCCTCCCCGCCCGATGGAGTAGATCTCGGCTGTTTTGGGGCGCTTGCTTCGAGCGGGTGGGGTCTCCCCCCATAGGACGCACTGCTGCAAGCAGTCGCGCCGAGCAGAGGTCCGGAGCCAGACCCCCCCCTTTCCCCCCTTCACTCCCAAGGTCGACGCGCCGAGTAGCAAAAAACGCTCACCACTGGAGATCTGGGTGCAGGAGGCGGAGGAGGAGGAGCAGGAGGAGCAGGAGAGGGAAGACTGCTTTTCGGATGACTCTGCCAACCCAGATTTGGGAAACGTGCCCGAAGCGAAGCACAACCACCCCGGACTCAGAGCCGAGGCCCCGAATACGACATGGGCCCGCAACGCGCCGGAAGAGAAGCAGGAGGAGAGGAAGAGGAGGATCTTCGATCCCTTTCGTGTTGCTCCTCAGCCTTCGGCTTCGCCGAAGGATGTCTGGGGACCCAGGCCCCCGACGTCCTGATTTTTTCACGACGTGGACCCCAGCGGTCTGGGCCCACCCCCCAGGACCAGTTTTTCATTCCGAGCCGTTGTTTGATTTCTTCGCGACCCGAAGGGCGTCTCGGCCGTCGGCGCCGCCAACAAGATCTGTGGAGGCGGTGCGCAGACCTTCAGATCTACGTTGCCACAACATGCGACACCGCGTCGAGAATCACCACCACAGCCCTGGACCGACTTTTTTGTTCTGCGCCCTTCTTCTGACCGCTACCGATCTGTGAGGGCCCCGGGGGCCTGGCGCCCCGCGGAGCGGGGGCGCCAGGCAGCAGCTGCTGGCCGCGTCGGCCCGTTTGCCCTGCTGCTGCTGCTGCTGCTGCTGCTGCTGCTGCTGCTGCTCTTCTTGCTCTGCCTTCCCCTGCCTTGGTATCGCTCGGACGGGTGCACTTCTTCCCGGCGGGGATTGTTAAGGAGCATCCCGGATCATCCTGCAAAACAGCCACGCACGAAACCGAAGACAGCACAGGGAATGGACGTCCGGGCGATGGCGAGCTGCTGCTCTCTGCCTTTTCCCAAGCCGCGGGGCGACCTCCTCGAGCTGGTGAGAAGAGTGAGGGCCCCGGGGCACGACGTCGGGCGAACGCGCCCGAACGGTGTGAACAGAACTGCAGCGCCAGGACCTCGCGGGAGGGAGGAGGAGGAGGAGGAGGAGGAGGAGGAGGAGGAGAGGAGGAGGAGCAGGAGCAGGAGGAGGAGGAGGAGGAGGAGGAGGAGGAGGAGGAGAGGAGAAGGGGAGACAGGAGGAGGAGGATGAGGAGAGAGGGGAGGAGGAGGAGAGGAGGAGGAGGTGGAGGTGGAGAAGGTGGTGAAGGAGGAGGAAGAGGAGAAGGAGGGAAAGGAGGAGGGAGGAGGACGAGGAGAAGGAGAAGGAGGAGGAGGAGGAGGAGCAGGGGGAGGAGAGGAGGAGGAGGGGAGGAGGAGGAGGAGGAGGAGGGAGAGGAGGAGTGAGGAGGAGGAGGAGGAGGAGGAGGAGGAAGGGGAGGAGAGGGGAGGCCGTGCCCTGCAGGCCGCTGCCCCTGCTGCTCGCCCTGGCGCCCCTGGCAGCGGGCCGCGGCGCGCTGCACGCGCGCCTTGCGTCGGAGCCCGTGGCCCCGCCGGCCGCCGAGCCCACGCGTGAGGACACCGGCCGGGGCGGACGTCGTTCGCCGTGTCGAGTAGAGCCCCTGGAGTCGTGGCAAGAATCACGACGGTCTTTTTTCGCTACGTGGGGTCTCTGTCAAGCAGTGGCGAAGCGTCCTGGCGTGCCTATAGGCCTACCAAACAATGTGCTAAGAACTTTCTTCTTTCCGAGAAATGTTCGTGGAACATTTCTGGCCGAGAGTGTGTTGTTTTAACGCCTCGGGCTTATGTTCTAAGAACATTGTTTTTGTTATTCGAACACTTTTGGGTTCTAGGAATATTTCTTGGTAGGCCTATCGGAATACCTGGACGGTCGGTCCTTGCTCAGCTGGAGTCATGACAAAAGTCACGACGGGAGGTTTTTCGCTCTGTGGGGTCTCCGGGGCCCTTGCCGAGCATCGGGGCCGCCGAACAGCGACTCAGGATGAAACACCGGTCCTGGGGAATGGGTCGAGGCCTCCAGGGGTGGACGTTGTGAAACAATCCTCAGATCGGGGGTTTGGGTCGTCCGCCGTGTCCAGGCCCCCTCGGGTCGTGAAGAACTCGCAGCGGGAGGTGATGGGCCTGTTTTCCACCACCACCACCATAAGTTGGAGGGGGAGGGGGTCCTCCACCTCCTCCTCTTCGTCGTCCTCCTCCTCCTCCTCGTCCTCCTCCTTCCCCCCTCCAACTTATGGTGGTGGTGGTGGTCGAAAGCAGGCCCATCAGGAGATATTTTGGCAAGGCTCGGCCTCTTGAGGCCCTCGCTGGGCCCAGGGGCCGTCCGAAAACGGCTCGGGACGGAGAGCCGGTCCCGGGGTATGGGTCCAGACCGTCCGTCGTGGCGGAGGCGGACCCTGCACAACGGGCGGTGGAGGAGGAGGGGGGGGGGGATAGGAGGAGGAGAGCGGGGAGGGAGGAGGAGGAGGACGGGGTGGAGACGCTGCAGAGCGATGGGGGTGAGAGGGAGACATGGGGGTGGGTGGGCGACCGGGGGCAGGCAGCGTGACACTTGGCATCGAGCCTTGGGCCTTGGGTAGGCGGCTGCCGCGTCCGGTTTCGGGCCCCATGGTCCCTCACAGATCGATTAGGCTCGACAAGAGGCGGTCCGGGGCTCTTGTGTGTGTGTGCTTGTTCCCCCGAATCTGTTTTTTCTGTTGGCCAGCGTCCGATCTGATGGGGCAGGGCCGTGGATTATTTGTTATGTATGCATATGTAGATATGGAGAGATATAGAGTCGTGTGTGTATGTCTACATAGATACAACAAAACCAAGCACATGTACAACAATGTTCGGCTTCTGGGGGCTCTTGCCGGGCCCTGGGACCGTCGAGCAACGACCTGGGACGGAACACTGGTCCCAGGGAACGGGCCCAGACTTCTGGGGTCCACGCCATGGGAAATGCGCGAGGTCGGGCCCCGAGATCCGACCTGGCGAAACAATCGCAGCGTCGGAGACAATCGTCACTGGAGTCCCGGGCCCCACCTTTCTGCGTCCTTCTTCGAGCCGGACCAGGCTGTGATGGGCCTGGGGCCAGGGACTTGAGAAGCAAAACACGCCTTCTTGTGAAGCGAGTGCACCACCAAAGTCTGAGGGGTGGTCTGGGGAGGGGGGCGGCCGCGGAGGGAGGAGGGCACGATCCCAGGAGGCTGGTTGTACGGAGGAGAGCCGGGCGCCGACACCGCCTGTCAGGATGGCAAGGCTCACCTCTGGCCCGGATCGTCGGGCGGATGCTAACGGGGGCTTCCCCTTGCGAAGCCAGTCCCAGAGATTGAACGTGTTGCGCTTTTCGAGAGTCCCAGAGATTGCGAAGCCAGTCCTTGAAAAGCAAGACGGAGGTTTTTCGCAGTGCTCGGCCTCTGGGGGCACTCGCTGGGCCCCGGGATCCGTCAGAAAGCGGCCCAGGATGAAAAACCCGTCCCCGGGGAAGGGGTCGAGACTTCTGGGGGATCCCGCATGGAAAACATCACCACATCGGATCTCTGGGATTGGGGCCCGAAAGGGAACATTTCGGGCCCGTGTCTTCACCCTCATGTAGTCCAGCAGTGGCTAAGCGTCCTGGCTCGCCTACAGCGCTACCAAACAATGTTCTAAGAACCTTCTGTGGTTTTCACGAAATGTTCTTCGAACGTATCTGGTTGGGACCGTCTTGGTTTGTTACATCTGGTTTAAGTTCTAAGAACATTGCTTTTCTTTATAGAACATTTTTGGGTTCTGAGAACATTTCGTGGTAGGACTGTAGGAATGCCGGGACAGTCGGTCCCTGCTCAAAACATGTCCCCATCCCCTGTGTTTGGCATCACCTCACCTCGATGCCGATCTTGAGGACCCCCTCAGTTTCTGCGAGCACATCCCTAAGCTTGTCCATGTTTTTTGCACACCCATCTTAGTGATAGGGATAAGTTCGAGGCTGGTTACACGTGGAACGCCGATTTCCACGTTTGGCTATGCCCCCGTTCCCAGAGCCCGATCGGGTCATGAGCAAATCACGACGGGCGTTTTTTCATAATTTTCGGCCTCTGGGGGCCCTCACTGGGCCTCGGGGCCGTCGACAACATGGATTCACACAGAATGAGAAACCGGTCCTGGGGAATGTGTCGAGACCTCCGGGGGTCGACGTTATGAAACAATCATGACGTCGGGGATTTGGTTTGGGGGGTGTTTGGCGCCGCAGACGGGTATGTAGCAAACGGGGGAATATGGAAAAGCCTACTAAGATCCCCCGTTTAGCTCGGACCCAGTTTGCGAAGTTCCAACTCCTTCCAGTACTGGCGAGGCGTCCCAACTGGGTTCCGAGTAGTAGGTGGCGTCGAAGCATCGCACCGCATCGCCGATGCATCGGTAATGCGGCTCGATGTGGAGCTCGGTCTTCGCCACGCCGATTCCGCCGATGTATCGCCGACGTCGCTGCTGCATCGCCGATGCATCGCCGACGCATTGCGAATACATCGCCGATACATCGGCGATGCGGTGCAATCCTCCGATCCCATATACTCGGATCCGGTCTATATCAGGTCTCCATTCAATCAGTGGCGCGGCTTCCTGGCTTGCCAACGGGCCCACCAAAGAATGCTTTGAGAACTCCTCGGAGTTGGCACGAGCTGTCCTTAGAGCATCTCTTGCCGAGACCGTCTTGTTTCAATGCGTCGGCTCCATGTTCTAGAGAAACATTGTTTGTGTTATTGGGGCATCCTTGGATTCTCAGATTGTCATGCTCCAACCTACTTCAGCCTTGACCAGCAGGAAGAATTTCAAGCGCCCAACAAGTACCGAAAACTCAAGGGTTTTCACGTGTCGGGCCCTGGGAGACACTCGCCCGACACTGTTTCGACACTGTTTCGACACTCTGTTGACACTTTTCCGGGTGCTTGAAATTATTTCTGGGAGCCAATGCTATGCAGTCAGATCTGGTGAATCTTGATCCGGGCCCGGGTCCTTTTCCCCTGCTGCCAAGCAAGCTCAGCATTATATATTCTCAAGTGCACCTCGTCCTGAGTGAGGACGCGTCCTCGTGAAAAACTGGATCGTCCGTCTCATGTCTGTGTGAATGGTGGCCGCTGCTAGCTTGAGGAACATGATTCTAAGAGCATCCCATGGTGGGCTCACAGCAATGCCGAGGCGACCGGTCCCCGCTCGTGGTCTGGGCCCAGGAGGGCCTCCGCCAGGAGAAGGCGTGCGTGCACACCTCTCTCTCTGCGCCCGGGCCAGGGCGAGCTCCTCCCCGCCCAGCCAGCAACGCAGCTCTCCGCAGCGTCTGTCATTAGCAACTTTGGGTCAAAAACAGCCCCAGGATTTTGAAAGTATCTTCAGCAGGTCGCGATTTAGACATTCAGTGGACATGTTCCTTTCCAGCATCGAAGCGCACCCGGTTGGCGCGACCCCACTCGTGAAGAGAAGGCCCCCTTCGTGGGCCATGGACACGGCAGGGCCAGTTTGTGGAAAGGCTCCGTTGTGCCGTTTTTGCTGCTGGTTCAAGAGCCAGTGTTTTCCCCGCTTCTGTCTCAGTTTCTGTTGGTTCTGGCTCCAGTTCTAGTCCGGGAGCAGTATTTGTTTGTGTCCGTCTCGGGGAGGGCACTTTTGTAGTTTTCTCGTTCCAGAGAAGGTCTCGTTGAGACCAGCCGAAAAACTGCCCTGCCGCTTGCGAGGCCCACTTGGGGGAGTGTCAGGAGTTGGCGGTTCAAGGATGGGGCCCCGAGGGATGGGATCTTGCGGACGAGGGGCCCAATCTCTCAGGGCCCCGTGTTGGAAGACAGGGGAGAGGGGCCCGGATACCGCTGCCAGCTCCTCGTCCCCATGGCCAGGTTCGCTTCGGACTCCTGGTCGGAGCGATTCCCCGCAGAGGTCCCGGGGAGCAGCGGCACCGGTGGAGAGACAAGGGGGGAGGGAGGAAGAGGGAGGGAGGGAGGAGGAGAAGATCGACGGACGACGGACGACGACGACGGTCCAACGGTCCAACGCAATGCCGAGGAATCCCTCGGCGGCGGACGCGGCGCGCGCAAGCGGGCACCACTACCGCCGAACGACGACGATGACGACGACGACGACGAAGGCCGCTGCTAACTCCTGCGCGGTCTCCCCTCCAGCCAGCAGAGGGAGGCGTCACCAGGCCCGCTCGGCCCTGGTCTGCCACTTCGCCGCTCCTCTCTTGGCGTAGGTGTCGGTGAGTTCGTTGCCTCGCCTGGTCCATTCCTCGTGCAGGCTCAGGCACTCGCCCACTGTCCGGTGGGCCTTTACCTTGACCACCGCCACCTCGCCGCCGTCCATCTCCGCCCACCAGCGCCGCCACATGTGGCGTCCGGCGTTGCTCATGGCCAGCGCCTTGCCCTTGCTGCGGGCGCAGTCCACGGTGCCCTGGCAGTCGATGTGCACCTCGAGCGGCGCCGCGGCCCTGCCGGACAGCACGTGGACGGCGTAGTCCTCGCCGTCGGCCATGGCCTGCTGTAGTGGGGCCCAGGCCAGGGGAACCGACGACGACGACGACGACGACGACGACGACGACGACGACGACGACGACGACGTCGGACGGCTGACGCATGCGAACCGCGGCGGCGACACGCGTTGTCGTCGCTGCGGCGCGGCCACTGATGGTGGTGCCTGCGCATGCCGACCAGAGTCCGGGGGGGTCGCGGCCCGAGGAGGCCAGACCGCGGGGCCGTGGACCGGAGGTCTGGAGGTGCGAGCGGCGTCGGTGACGCCGCTCTCACCTCCAAACCTCCGCCCCCAAACCATGTGGTGAGATGTCTATCAGGTGGTGACCTGGAATCCCCAGAGAGTCACCGCCAGGTTTGGGAGCACGGGGCCACCGCTGGGCTCTGTGACTCGTGGACCCACAAGCATTCGGGACGTCCTCGAAAACCCACACGAGTGCCCAAACCGGGTGGTGACACCAAATCGCCCGAGACTCCGCTGGGTGTTGTCACCACCATATTTGGGGACTGCCGCTCCCAATCGGAAGAGCAGGTTCGGTTTATGGTCTCGTCGCGCGTGCTGGCGAGGCACAGCTGCGTGGAAGGACGATGTGTCTCCCAAGGCGACGGTCAAGTCGGACAGCCATGCTCTTCGTGAGCCTGGCGGTGCCTCACGGGTTGTCCTGTGGGCCGTCCCTCAGTTTTCCCTTGGCCGTGGGATGTCTCGTGGTTGTCCCGCTGGTTGCCTTGTGGTGGTCCCGTGGGATGTCCCGCGTGATGCTCCCTGGTTACCCTGAGGTTGTTTCGTGGACTGTCCCGCTGGTCCACGAGTTGCCTCGTGTCTTCGCCATTGGTTGTCCTGTGGTTATCCCGTGGGTTGTCCCGTGGTTGACCCCTTGGGATGTCCCGTGGCTGTCCCGCTTGTTGACTATGCAAATCGAAGGGCAAGTCTAATTGTATACAATCTGTGCACCGGGATAAACATCTATATTCAGATCGGCCTGCACTTCAAATTGCGAATTAAGCTGCAAGTCAGGATGCAAGTAGAACTGCACATCGAAATTAAAATATCATCGACGTCGAACAGCACATCGACATGCTAGGAGGAGCTTGGACCAACATGCAAAGTACGTTGCACTATGAACGAACATCGATACGCACATCCGATTCCAGTCGAAATGAACATTCATTTGCAATCGACATGCTCATCGGAATGCAGACATACATGTAGGTTGCAATCCAAATTGCAACTAGCATGCGGTTCGCAGTGCATGTCGACACGCAAGCCCCACCTCAATCGAGGTTGACGTCGAAACGCAAGTTCCTTAACCCAAGCTCCTCATCACCCGAGAGGTGCTCTATGAAATGTTGTGGATGTATGTTTTCCCACCCACGACGCCCAAGGAGCTCATCGCCCTCGGCATTTGGCCGCCGCCGGAGCCTGTGGGCCCTGCCCCCACGAAGAAGGACGGCTCCTACGGCTCCAAGGCGGACGCGTGCCAGGCCTGCAAGAATATGGCCACGGGGTCCTGCGCGATGTACAGGCCACGGGCTCCCGATTGGGCTAAGATGATTATGCCAGACGATCGAGGCACGACGAGGCAATTACGATCTGCCGGAGTCGTGTTGACGGTTCGTCCCATGCAGGGCTCGTCCGAGCCAAGTTATTGTTGGCAGATGTGCCTGCAAAAGGATACGGTCGGTTCGCGTCGTGTCGATTGGCGGCGACCCCGCCGTTGGCGTTCAACGGTGAACGCCGCCGGCGACCCAGAGCCGGTCGACGTCGAAGGATCTGACGTTTCGGAAACGGCCGTTCGTTCCAGGTGGAACGATCCCCGCGGCGTCAGGAATCAAGCAGTGGCGAAGCGTCCTGGCTCGCCTATATTCCTACCAAGGAATGTTCTAAGAGTTTTCTGTGGTCTCAACGACGAAATGCTCTTAGAACATTTCTGGCTGGGGCTGTCTTGTTTTAACACATATGGCTTAAGTTCAAAGAGCCTGGTTTTTGTTCTTCGAACATTTTTGGGTTCTGAGAACATGTCGTGGTAGGACTAGAGGAATGCTGGGACGGTCGGTCCCTGCTCAAGACACGACCCCCCGGAGCCCCGACGTCGTGACGTGGGCCCCGGCGGCCCCGGGACCCGTTCCCCGGGGACCGGTGCCTCATCCTGGGCACGCCGGTCCGCCGGAGATCGGAGCCTGCGCGCCGCAACCTCGAGGGCCCAAGTCAGTCACGTGGAGCAGTGGCGAGGCGTTCTTGCCCATAGGCCTACCAAGCAATGTTCTAAGAACCTGTTGTGGTTCCCACGAAATCTTCTCAGAACATTTCTGGCGGAGTCTGCCTTATCATGTCGCATCGGGTTTATGCTATAAGAACATGGTTTTTGTTCTTGGGACATTGTTGGGTTCTAAGAACATTTCGCGGTAGGACTCTAGGAATGCTGGGACGGTCGGTCCCTGCTCAAAAAAGGATCAGGAGGGGAAAAAACATGCAGACACAATGAATCGTCGACCCCCAGGAAAACATAGGAGAATATGGGAAGCGGGGGGGAAGACGAAAACCAAGAAGATATGGGAACATGTGGAGGATATTGTTATTTGTGTCCATTTCTTTGTCTGTCGCTGGGCCCCTTTCAGGGGGGGAGGGCGGCCAGTTGCGTGGGGCGCAGGGCTCGAGCTAAGCGGTGTTTGGGCGATTTCGTGGGCCGTTTTCGTTTTGATGTCGTTTCGCCGCACAGGCAGAGCGAAGACGGAGCGAAGGAAGGCGAAAACAGCACGGAGACGAGGAGCACCGTCTAGCTCGAGCCCTCACGTGGGGCTCGTACCAACGCGTGTCAGCTTTTTTCTCTCGCCCACTCCGGCTGCACTTACCCATTCATGGCAGTCCTCGGTGGACCGTCGTCGCCACGGCCGAGCGCAGCTCGACGAATCTGCGGGCCCGGCAGGGATCAGAGACCGATTCTGACGGAGTTGAATCTGACCGGAAGGGTAAGGACAAGTTTTTTTGCTGGCATGCGGGTGAACAAGTGCGCAGGACTTGCTTGTGCTACGCGGCGAACGCGGTCTTCGAGACGCCGGGCATCCCCGCACCCACTGACAGGACGAATTACCATTGGACTTGCGGCAACGAGGGCGGCGACAAGTACGAGTTGTGCTTCAAGTCCGACCCCAAGTACACCGACAGCTTCGGAGACGAGTTCGATGTGAACAAGCCAAAGTGCCCCGTGTGAGCGCAGCTCGGGCGGGCGTTGCTAGTAGTAGTGTCTCGTCAGACAGCTCTCCCGCCACTGGCGCACGTGCCTTCAGCACGCTGTGCCAGACTCGACTACCAGCTGAAAAGAGGCGGTGCGTTTCAGATTCGCCCACAGCTTTGCGTTTCGGCTCTCGTGCCGTTCTTGTGGCCGTCTATGTGTCCTTGGGATTCAGGTTTCCGCCCTGTAGTGTCATTGTGGTCAGGGGTCCGTGGGTTCTGTCTTCACCCCGTGGTCATTCTGGTGTCTGGATGTCTCCCCGAAATGACCGTGGATAAGGTCGAGGTCCGTGGGGCTTGGGTGGCAATGCTGATGTTTGATTTCGTGTTACTGCCGACGACGATGGTGCAGGTCTCAGTGGTGGTTCGGGCACGTCTGCATCTTTCCCTGCTGTCGTACGTCATCCTTGATTTCGCTGCAGGTTTATACCTGGTTGCTTGCAGCCAACCTATTAGTAGACGTAGTAGTAGTAGTAGTAGTAGTAGTAGTAGTAGTAGTAGTAGTAGTAGTCGTCGTCGTCGTCGTCGTCGTCGTCGTCGTCGTAGTAGTTGTCGTAGTAGCAGTAGTAGTAGTAGTAGTAGTAGTAGTAGTAGTAGTAGTAAGAGGAGGAGGAGGAGGAGGAGGAGGAGTAGTAGTAGTAGTAGTCGAAGTCGTAGTAGTAGTGGTAGTCGTAATAGCAGTAGTAGTAGTAGTAGTAGTAGTAGTAGTAGTAGTAGTAGTAGTAGTAGTAGTCGTAGTGGTAGTGCTAGTGGTAGTCGTAGTACTAGTCGTGGTCGTAGTAGTAATAGTAGTAGTAGTTGTAGTTGTTGTTGTTGTAGTCGTTGTAGTAGTCGTTGTAGTAGTCGTAGTAGTAGTAGTAGCAGTAGTAGTAGTAGTAGCAGTAGTAGTAGGCGTAGTCGTCGTCGCCAAAATAGCAGTCGTAGTAGTAGTAGTAGTAGTAGTAGTAGTAGTAGTAGTAGTAGTAGTAGTAGTAGTAGTAGTAGTAGTAGTTAGTAGTAGTAGTAGTAGTAGCTAGTAGTAGTAGTAGTCGTAGTTGTAGTAGTAGTAGTAAGTAGTAGTAGTGTAGTAGTAGTAGTAGTAGTTAGTAGTAGTATTAGTAGTAGTATGTAGTAGTCGTAGTAGTAGTAGCAGTAGTAGTAGTAGTAGTAGTAGCGTAGTAGTAGTAGTAGTCGTAGTAGTAGTAGTAGTAGTAGTAGTAGTCGTAGCAGTAGTAGTAGTAGTAGTAGTAGTAGTAGTAGTAGTAGTAGTTAGTAGTAGTAGTAGTAGTAGTAGTAGTAGTAGTCGTAGTAGTAGTACTAGTAGTAGTAGGAATAGTAGTAGTAGTCGTAGTAGGTAGTAGCGTAGTAGTAGTAGTAGTAGTAGTAGTAGTAGTAGTAGTAGTAGTAGTAGTAGTAGTAGTAGTAGTAGTAGTAGTAGTAGTTAGTAGTAGTAGTAGTAGTAGTAGTAGTAGTAGTAGTAGTAGTAGTAGTAGTAGTAGTAGTAGTAGTAGTAGTAGTAGTAGTAGTAGGAGTAGTAGTAGTAGTAGTAGTAGTAGTAGTAGTAGTAGTAGTAGTAACGTAAGTGCGGTAGTGGGAGTAGTGGTGTAGCACTTCATGATCGTCGTAGTCGTAGTAGTAACCATCCTCTCCTCCTCGGCGCCAGCGCCGACGCCAGCGCCGACGTCGACGCCAGCGCCGACGCCAGCGCAGTGGTGGGCGAAGGAGCGGAAGCGCTTGCAGCAGCGGCGCGCAGACTTCCGCCCGAGTGGGCCGCAGCACTTCCGCGCCATGGAGGAGCCTCCTCCTCCTCCGCCTCCTCCTCCTTCTCCGCCATGCGGGAGCGGGCGCGCCATGCCCGCAGCCGCGCGCGGACGACCACCACGGGTGCCAAGTATTTCCTCATTGAGGATTCAGCCCGCCCTCCCTCACCATCAGATTCCCCCTTCACCCGTTTCGCCCCCCGCCCCTCCCCAGCCCGCCCCGTCTCCATCCCCTCCACCTTCCCCTTCTCACCGCCATCTCGCCCTATAGGGTAACGGCCCCCATCGGCTCCCCTTCGTCCTCTGCCCTCTCCTGCCTACTCCACCTTCCTTCTCTCCATCTTCACCCTTATCGCACAGTTGCGGTTCCAATTCCTTCCCCCTCGTCCTACCCCCTTCCCCCGCCTGCCCCATCCGTCCAAGGACGTTGGCGCCGACGACCCCGCGGCCGAGGAGACATTCCAGGTCTTCGTGAAGACGCTGGTGGGGCAGACGATCACCCTCAATGTGGCCGCCAGCGATGCGGTCCACTACATAAAAGGGCTCATTCAGGACAACGACGACGACAATGACGACGACGGCGACGACGACGACGACAGGACAGCGAGGGCGCCCCCGCCCACCAGCAGCGCGTGATCTTCGAGACGAAGCAGCTCGACGACAAACGCAAGATCGGGGATTACAGCGTCCGGAATGGCTCCACGCTGCACCTCTCTGAGCGTCTGCGCGGGGGTGGGAAGAAGGGGGAGGTCGTGCCGAGCCTCGCCGCGGCGGCTGATGTTCCCGCGGCGGACGAGGTGATCCTCCAGGGGCATTTGCGCGGCGGCATGCCCCCTGCCAGGGCGACCTCAATGGAGGAGTACCCGATGCCAGGCGACCTGGGGCCTGAGAACCACCCTCGCATGCCACTGGGAAGCTGCTGCGCCAAGCCGTTTGCCAATTACGGCGTCCTGGCTAAACACCTTAAGCGCGCAGAGCCACTCGGCCAGAATTGCAGGGCTCGTGGGTCTACGCCTGGAGCACGATGGAGCGCAGGGCGATGA